CATGTGCGGTGCATGCTTTCATGCTGTTTCTGCCAAATTCTCACTCTGCCACCTGCATGATGCAACTGGAAACGTGATTCAATGGACCACATGACTTTTTTCCAATGCTCGACTGTCCAATCCTTGTGTTCCAGTGTGAATTATCTTGGTATCTTGGAGACGTTTTATCTTGGTAACTGCAGACAGCAAATGTGTTCGAACAGGCCTTCGGCTTCCATATCCCATATGATGCAGTGTACGGCTAATTTGCCTACAAACGTCAAGTGGTCATAATAATCTGGCCACTCAGTGTGTGTGTGTGTGTGTGTGTGTGTGTGTGTATTCCATGTTCAAAGGCTGTTACATCGCGTTGTTTACCCATATTTTCAGAAAAAAATCACTTCTACTGTCGTGGTAAACAACCTGCTTCCCTATTTATAATGGTCTGGCCCTCTAGCAACTTCAGAACGTCATTATGGCTAATTTGTCTACAAATGTCAGGTGGTCATAATAATCTGGCCACTCAGTGTATATGTCAATTTTTGTGAAAAAGCAATAATTATGATAATGATAACTCTGTCCATAGAAAACAGTCCAGATAACTTTGGGTTTATGGGGAGCAGAAAGTGAAAGAATGTAATTCAAGGGGCTTTTTATTAACATACATATTTATGTAATACTTACATTTTTCTAGCTTTATTGAAATATAATTGACATATAACATTGTGTAAATTTAAAGTGTACAATGTGGTGATTTTATATACATATACAATTAGCTGACACATCCATCACCTCACATAGTTATCTAATTTTGCTTAATGACAAACTTTTATAACCAGAATATTTTTTTAAATATATTTTTATTGATTTCAGAGAGGAAGGGAGAGGGAGAGTGAGATAGAAACATCAATGATGAGAATCATTGATCGGCTGCCTTCTTCACATCCCCTATTGGGGATTGAGCCTGCAATCTGGCCATGTGCCCTTGACAGGAATGGAACCCAGGACTCTTCAGTCTATAGGCAGGCCCTCTATCCACTGAGCCAAACCGGCCAGGGCTAACCAGAATATTTTTTAAAAGAAGAAGAAATTCTAATTTTGTTTGAGACTTTTGTGAGATTGTCACAAAATTCAATCACTTGAGTAGCAATATTACAGACTGGTGAAACCAGGGGCCATTTGCTTTCCTCTGAAACCCAGAGGCTGGGATTCCCAGGCACCAACCCCTTTGGTTGCTTTCCTCCTGTGGAGTGCGTATTTCACTGCTGCCAAAAGCAGAGATTCTAAACTCCTTGGCCTGGCAGTCAACACCTTTCCCTATCCGGCCAAACATCCTTTTTATAGCGTTATCACCCTTCACTCCCAATTACAAGGATTCCACTCTGGCTAAAAAGACACAAAATACATATCTTTACAATGTTTTCCCATATGCCCTTTTAAAAACTTGAGATAAAATTCACTTAACATAAAATTTACCATTTTAACAATTTTAAAGTGTACACTTAGTGACAATTAGTATATTCACAATGTGATGCATCCATTATCATTATCTGGTTCCAGAGCACTTTCATCACCCCAAAAGGAAACCCTGTACCCAGTAAGCAGTCACTCCCCATCTCCCATCCCTCCCCCCAACCCCTAGAAGACACATCTGTCTTCTGTCTCAAAAGTTTTGCCTACTTTGGATTTTCTGCATCATACAATATGTGAACTTTTGTTTCTGGCTTCTTTCAGTTAGCATAATGCCTTTGAGGCTCAATACTTTCTTTCTCTTCCAGATGAATAATATTCCACTGTGTGCATATCCCATGTTTTTTATTTTTTTATCCATTCATCAGCTGATGGACATTTGGGCTGTTTCTACTTTTTGGGTGTTGTGAATAGTTGCGGGCCATTATCTTTCCCTTCCTTCAGTTTCATGTGCAAATCAAAGTCAAGCTTTCATGTGAGCTTCAAATCAAATCTTACCCTCCCCAAGTTAGCTGGGCCCAGAGTCCTCAGCTTACTCTGAATCCCTCCACTTCTACACCCAAGGTAGCAAATTGTCAACACATGGCAGAATCATAGACTTATTTAGGTTGACTCAAACTGTTTGCTTTTCTTAAATTAGTTGCTAACATAGAAAAACTCAAGGAAAATCATTAAGGTCAAGATTCCAGTTCCTTTAAATACCTGGAAGGTCTGGCAACATCATCTCTTGCCTGGGTTAACCGCTGATTAACTGGTCTTAGTGTTTTTATCCTTTCCCCCTGCACCCTACCTCAATATAGTACCCCCCAATGGTTTCATTCAAACAGAAGTCAGATCAAGTCACTCCGGTACTCACATTCCAGTGGCCTCCTACTTCTCCCAAAGTACAAGCCACGGCCTGCATGGCCTATGAGGCGGCGTACACAGGTCTTGTGCCTGTCTGCCTGTGTCTCCTCCCACTCTCCTGCCTGCTCACTCAGCTCTGGCCTTCTCCTTTCCGTTGCTTGGACAACCCAAGCAGGCTCTACTTTAGGCCTTTGCACTGAATGTTCACTGTATCTCCAGAAATCTCAGTGCTTCACTCCTTCACAGTCAATACTAAAATCTCACCTCAAAAAATCCAACCCTGACCATCCTTACTTAAAACTGTAAGCCCACCCCTCATCAGCACTCCTGATTTTCCTTATCCTGACCTGCTATTTCTAACCAGTCATCATCATCTAGTATAATGAAAAATGTACTTATTGATTGCATTTGCTATCTATTATCTGTTTCCTTCCATTAAAAGGTGTCACAATGGCAGGGACTTTTGTCCCTTTGATTTCCTACTTAATTCCCAGTGCCCAGAAGAGCACAACACATGGTAGACATGCAGTAATTATTTGCTGAATGAATACTGGGCTTACAATCAGCTGGCACTGAAAAGGGGCTGCCCTTTAGATTGGACATGTGATAGTTTCCCAGGTCCACCTGGCCCATTTCATTCTTCTACCTGTTTGGTCCCTGCAGACATGAGCTTGTAACACTTCTTTTTCCCCTGTCCCTTGTCACTGACTTCCTAGTATCATGTTAATCTTTTCATCAGAATAGTATTAAAAAAAAGGATATCATAATTGTAGTCTGTGGAAATCACCTACTATTTTCCTTCTCAAAGACAATCCCTCTGCATTTAGAAGCTAAATAAACAGTTAGGGACTAAAGTGCTCCTCTGGCATTTCTGTCAAATGTTTCCTCCCTACCTTCCCCCCAACTCTCACCACTTCCGGCTGCTGACCACCATTTAGGAAAGCGCTGCTTCTCTCTTCTCTGGCACTGCCCAGGCATCCCACCACGAGGGTCATCTTCGTGATGACCTGGACGACCATGGAAGGATACTATGCGCTGCTGCCCGATCAGCTTTAGGCCAGAAAAGTGTAAGGACCTATTTTGAGGGTGGAGACTTCAGAGCTGACCAGTACTGTGTTCTTCTAAATATCCAACCAGAACTGTCACACCTTTCCTGACACTCCTGTTTCTGTCTGAAATTGTTATCTTTGCAGATGAATGTGCATGTTGCCCAAAATGTTTCCATCTTTATAATAGTTGCAACCTGACTGAGGCATTGCATTTGTTGCCTAAATATGTAAACTGATCAATTTCAAAAGCTAAACATCCTTTGATCTCTCCTGTTTGGATTCTGCTCCGTTTTATCCTTCAATAACTTGTGTTAAACCTCATCTTAACATGTAAGCCCCCTCTCTGCTTTTAGGACATGGAAGGATGAATCTTTTCTTTTTTTAATAAAAATTTCTCCAGGAAAAAGTTCATTCGATTTGATAGCTTTCCACACCTGGCACCACACTGCCCAGCTGCGGTGTGGCAGAAGGACCTTGGCCAGGCAAGGGAGAGGGAGCCCACAGAGGCTTGACTGTGCAGGATCTCTACAGATGAGGTTTTTGTAACTTCACCAAGTGGTTCATTTAGTTGAAAGCTTAAAGTTACTTTTTTTTTTAACCAGTGTCTACAAAGTTTAAAATAGAACACAAAATTAAAAGAATCTATGGGACACACATAAAGCATTTCTCCAGAATATTTTCCTCTTTTTCCATTATGTGAAACTTACCATCCCTCCTCCCCAAATAGTGAATGCACAATGGCAAACATGTAGTAAGAAACAACTAATGATGTCTGCTGTTTTTGAAATGAGCACAGAGCCATCTGGCGGCTGGGCAAAGGTACTGGGCCCAGGAAGTATGCCTGTTTACAATTTGCTTAGGACCTTACCAGCCCTGAGCAGCTAGGTCTATGTTACTTGTGGAGAGAAAACAGGAGCTGGGGAAGGTAGAGCTGGACAAAAACACAGGAGCATATATAGTACAACGTCCTAAGAAAAAATATGGATTTATTGGGGTGCCAGTTCCTATCTCCAAAGTCTCCCTATAATTTTAAAGAATGGAAGGGAGGTAGTAGTGAGCAGTTTTCATTTTGACAAACACCTAGTAATATCGTACTCTTAAATTCACTGTCATTTCATGTTAGTAAGATCATATTCAGAGTTATGCTTAAAATTTGAAATCTTACTCCGATACTTTATATTTAAAAAGTCTCATTCTTTGGTAAGACTTGCTCTATTATAGTCGGAAGCATCACACTTTACAGCTGTGCTATGTTGGAAGAGCAGTTACCTTTTCTTTGGAGGGCAGGCCAAAACTCCTGATTGATTTATCGGGGGATCTTCATCGGCTATGACTGTGGAAGTACTTTCTTCTTAATTCTGTTCAGATCTACAGAGAAAGGGGGCAAAGGGATAAAACAATGGGTCAAGCTAACCAGAAATCTACAATCTCATCAGTTACCAGATATTACAAAATTATTATATGTGCTTTGAAATGTCAAAGTGTTAAAATTTGAGGCACTTTATCAATTTTACAACAAATATAATTCAGTTTTTTGGTTTTTTATAATGCACTTAAGCAGCTATCTCTAATAACAAAAGAGTAATATGCTAATTGGACCGGATGTCATTCTGGACAAAGCCAGGCCAGAGGGAAGCCCAGGTCCCAGGTGCCTGCAGGTGGCTGGAGGGAAGCTCAGGTCCTGGGTACCAGAGGGAAGCTGGTGCCGGTAGCCGGGGGAAGGAAGGCCCACTCTTGCACGAATTTGATGCATCAGGCCTCTAGTCCTATGTGATAAAAGGCTAATATGCAAATCAACCAAATAGCAGAACGACTGGTCGGTATGACACAAACTGACCACCAGGGGACAGATGCTCAACACAGGAGCTGCCCCCTGGTGGTCAGTGCGCTCCCACAGGGAAAGCGCCACTCAGCCAGAAGCTAGGCTCATGGCTGGTGAGCGCAGCCTCGGTGGCAGGAGCCTCTCCCGTCTCAGCGACAGCACTGAGGATGTCCGACTGCCGGCTTAGGCCCACTCCCCACGAGGAGCGGGCCTAAGCTGTCAGTTGGCCATCCCCCGAGGGCTCCCAGACTATGAGATGGCGTAGGCCAGGCTGAGGGACCCCTGAGTGCATGAATTTCGTGCACCGGACCTCTAGTATTTACAATAAACTAAGAACAAATGACTAATATGTACATAGAGAAAGCTCCTGGGGCTTAAAGTCATTGTGTGTAATTTGCCACTAATGAGTTTTCACTTAATTTTTAAAATGGCTATTCAGAAAGCCTGCTCATATGAAACCTGTCAGAATCACAGATTTAAAAACACACACACATTGAGTGAGATTATTATATGGAGAGCTCATTTGTCCTTTTTCATCTAACAGTTTATAAAAGCAATTCATAATACTACAGACAGGAAACAAAAACTCAACTAAATCACCTTCCTAAAAAGCACAAGGAAATTATGTGTTCCATTATCTATGCATTTTTGTGCAATGTGTATATGTACATTTCAAGTGGGATGTGGCTACTATTTAAATTAATTTGGGAAGAATCACTGAGTTAAGAGTCAGGAACTGGAGATTAAGAGACCAGTTAGAAATTTAACTGGTTTTCAAGTTTGACTTGCAGAAGAAGAGAAAGAACAGCAAATATGGGCAATGACACTGCTATGGAGCAGATGCTAAAGTATAAGCACAAGGCAGGCTGATTTTGTATGAAAAGTTCACCAGTAATACCCTTCCTCTTCCTATTGTCCTCACTGGCTATCACCAAGGTCACGTGACAGGAATATTGCTTTGATTAACTTTTGTTTCTTTTCATAACTCTGAGATGGTAAGCCAAATATTTCTATCATTTGAAATATTAATAAAGCATCTTGCAGTCAGTGGCTGAAATTCTATATCATGTCATAATTGTCTTTATTGGATTTTAAGTTATTCCTGGTTCACATCCTTCCACTCTCCTTTCTTTTAGATAGTTTCAATTTTATTCACCCACAATCTGTTATTCAGTAATGTAATCATTCAGCAAAGTAATCATTCCTACAATCTTTATAAGCCAGATGTTTCTCTTCCCCAGATTTGTACTTACTTCCCAGCCCCTATCTTTTAAAACTTTTCTCTGATTTCCATTTTAGTGTTCCTTTTCTGCTTTATTGCCAATAAAACCAACTACTTTGTTTAACATGTCTGTCCTGAGCCTTTGCATACTAAACATTGAATAGCTATGCAACAATCACTCAACAGCTACAAATTACCAGGATAGAGACAGCCAATAAAGATGTTATGTTAGATCCCTGGCCAGGTGGCTCAGTTGGTTGGAGCATCATCCTGTACACTAAAAGGTGGTGGGTTCAATTCCCATCATGGCACATACCTAGGAAGTGGGTTCCATCCCCAGTCAGGACCCATATAGAGGCAACAGATCGATGTTTCTCTCTCACTCTCTGCCCCTTCCGTCCTCTTGGTTAAGGATTTAAAAAAATAGATATGTTGCCGAAACCGGTTTGGCTCAGTGGATAGAGCATCGGCCTGCGGACTGAAAGGTCCCAGGTTCGATTCCGGTCAAGGGCATGTACCTTGGTTGCGGGCACATCCCTAGTGGGAGATGTGCAGGAGGCAGCTGATTGATGTTTCTTTCTCATCGATGTTTCTAACTTTCTCTCTCTCTTCCTTCCTCTCTGTAAAAAATCAATAAAATATATTTTTAAAAAAATAGATGTGTTATTTTAGAGATAACTATTCACCTCACTGATGGTAGTTCCTTTAGAGCACACTTGAGGTAGAGGTGGAACAAAACCAGCATCAGATTAGACTATGTGCTCGATCTTATTTCACTGGGTCAAGCTATTTTTCAGTTTTCCGTCAGGACATTCCAGCTATATCTCCTAAGTATCCAAGGAAGTCATCAGATTTTAGATGCTATGAAATTGTCCCCAAGATAGTATTTGTCATTAAAAAAATTCACCATTTTCCAGCCTGCATACTTTAGAAATGCTTTAAGAGGAACCCTATTCTTAGAGGAAATGGTAGTGGCAGTTACTAAAAATAAGCATTTAAAAATAGTAACTACTCTACTTAGAATAGGGGATCAGAAATCTTTCTTTCATAGGGGAAGAAAGCTATCATATGTTTGTATATGTTCTCTCTTTTTTTCTTCACAATGACACTGCTCAAAAGAGCTGTTATGATAATCTCCATATTACTAGTGGAGCAAACAGACTAAGAGAGGTCATAATTTGCTCAAGACTGCCCAGCAAATAAATGGTTTGAAACTGGAACTAGGATGGAGGCATTTGGTGCTATATAGTTCCCTTTCCAGTACACCAAACTGCCTAAACAGCAACTTTGTTTTACAAAGAGAAAGAGAAATAGTTTAAAAGGTAGACTGGGGAACACTAAGAATAGAAATATAAAACTTGATAGCTTTTATTCATTCACCATCTACTATGAAACCAGCATTCAGTAAGTATAATTTTGTTGTTGTTAATCCTCATCCAAGGACGTTTTTCCATTGACTTTTAGAGAGAGTAGAAGGGAGGGGGAGAGACACACAGGGAGAAACATCAATATGAGAGAGAGATATCGATTAGTTGTTTCCCGCATGCACACTGATCAAGGCTGCAACCAAGGTATGTGCCCTTGGCTGGAACTGAACCTGGAACCCTTCAGTCCGCAGGCCAAGGTTCTGTCCACTGAGCCAAACCAGCTAGGGAAATAAGTATAATTTTTTAAAGATTTAAAAAAAAAATTCAGATGTTAGAGATAAGGAAACAAGAAAGAAAAGAATATAACTTGAATGTTCATCAAAGTCATGAGAAGGATCAATTTAATGTATGTACTCTTTGGGGGGGCGGAGGCAAGACTGTATAAGATGCCACTCTTCTGGAGTTGCTGCCTAGCCCGTGGCAACTCTTTTTTTTTTTTAGCACTATTGGTCCTCAACCCCATGTCAAGTTACATTTGTACTACGGGACTCCAAACTCCTGTTTTGGCCAAAGCTGGACACGCAACGCAAAGTGAGACTCAATTTGTTCCCCCTTGAAATTAGAAATTGGAATGAAGAGGGTCTATTCTGGTCTAGCTGCAAGCACCCCTGCATGCTCTGATCTATAGGAAAGGGCCAGCCAGCAAAGAGGGAAGAACAACTGTGCTGCTCAGAGTGAATGGGAGCCAAGAGCCCATGTAGCCCCAGAGAGAAAAACAGTTTCTGCCCTGAGGTTCTTGTCCCAAGTCTAGTCCCCCAGAGGCCCAACGCGCTTCCTTCCTCACGGTCTCAACAATTCCCGGGGTCTGTAGGCAAAGTGGTTCCTTTTTTTTTCTCCCCACTTTGGAGCTATAAAGATTTGGAACTGATTTCTGGTGACAGCTAAAACTCTTGTATTAAAAAATAAAAGGATAGATATCACTAGAATCTGTTATAAAAGATCCAGGGGAATGCCCAAAAGTTCAGAAAAATCCTCTCACTACCTTTAGACACAGAAAAGCCCAATGCTATATGGGCAGTGTTATATCGCCTTTCACAGAGAAAATGACTTACTTTCTAGGAGTAACATCTCTATGTCCTTTTAAGACTCTGAGAGCCTTGTTGCAATTTAAGGCACAATCTGGAACATTTTTGTTATATAATAGAGTCTGTAGAAATTAAGCAAAAACCTACAAACCATGATAAAGGAAAGGGAAAAAACAACAGGCTAAACTGAGTCAGTCTTGTTTTTAAGCACATCAGTAAAAACTTTCTTTTTTTTAAATATATTTTTTATTGATTAAGATATTACATATGTGTCCTTATCCCCACGTTACCCCCTACCCCCCCCTCATGCCCTCATCCCCACCTTGTCCGTGTCCATTGGATATGTTTTTAAGCACATCAGTAAAAACTTTCTTTTTTTTAAATATATTTTTTATTGATTAAGATATTACATATGTGTCCTTATCCCCACGTTACCCCCTACCCCCCCCTCATGCCCTCATCCCCACCTTGTATAATCAAATTTCTCTACATAGAAGGGCTTGCTGCCTGTACCATTATGGCATGTGAGGTCACCAATCTGGCACATAAATTCCAAATAATTCTGTGAAATCAGGAATCTTTGTAACCAGATACGATCCCCCCCCCCAG